AAAGAAAAGAAAAGAAAAGAAAAGAAAAGAAAAGAAAAGAAAAGAAAAGAAAGAAAGAAAGAAAGAAAGAAAGAAAGAAAGAAAGAAAGAAAGAAAGAAAGAAAGAAAGAAAGAAAGAAAGAAAGAAAGAAAGATTTGCAGCACCTCTTAGATTTGTAGCATAGCTGGCTGGGGAATTCTGGAAGCTGAAGTCCACACAGCTTTATAGTGGCCACGGTTGAGGAACAATGGTCTTGACCTTAAGCCCGTAGAAAACAGCTGGGAGTCAGTAAGGAGCAAGCAGATGTTACCCAAACTGAGATCAGGTTGCGCGGTGTACCTGTGTTATACGCATCACCCTTGTTTTCCAGATGGAGGGTCCAGGTCCCCTGGGGGTCTTCATCCCAGTAGTGGGTCGACATGAAAGACCAGTCCTTGTAGCCTTCTCGGCTGGTGTCGTAGGGCCTAGCGGTCGGCAAAACAGGAGGTTCACATTGAAATGGGCTCCCTCCATCCCCTTGCTGCAGTTAGTGAGATGCGTTAAGAAAAGAGAAATCGGTTGCCCTTGTGGGAAGCCGCTCCCTCCCCCGGGGAATGAAATATTTTGGGGAATATTAAGAGGTGGAATATTACCCCGTTTCCCTGAAAATACGACCTACCCTGAAAGTAAGTCCTAGCTTGATTTTTTTACACCTGCGCCCAATATAAGCCCTGCCTCCAAAGTAAGCCCTAATTAAGATCCCACCCACTCCAGAATGCACAGGTAAAAATTAATCTAGGGTGGGGATGCGGGTGATGGTGAAGCTGCCCTACTATTTACCTGTGGACAGGTTTAGCCAGGCCTCGCACACCCCTCCACCTGCTTTGCCGGCCCATTTCTTCTGCAGCCGGCAAGGCTGGCAAGGCTCTCCTGAAGGCCTCTGGAGCTGGAAACAAAGCTCTGGATCGATCCAGAGCTCCGTTATCGGCTGCAGAGGCCTTCAGGAAAGTCTTGCTGGCTGCGGAAGAAGAAGAAGTTCCTGAAGGCCTCTGAACAGCCAAAAGTAGGCCGGGGGCAACGTGCACAAGTGAGGTTATCTTCCAAAAATAAGACCTGGTGCCTTTTGGGGTGAAAAAAAAATTATTTTAAGACAGGGTCTTATTTGGGGGAAAACATGCTATATTTCCCCAAAAGGAGTAGCGGAGAAACATGTTCTTAAAGGCAGAAAGCAGTCCCCAGTCTTTCTTAATCCTGTGCTTGAAGTCTGTAGAGGTGGAGATTTTGTGCCCATGAAGAACTCCGGGCCAATCAATTCATAAGCGAAACATCTTCAGCTCCAGGTGATGGGATTAAGGAGGACAGGACAGGACCTAAGCTCATTCATTGAGAAATTGGCAGACACAATACTGATTCATTAAGAAAGGCAGACGAGAGGCAACAGGTAAGAGGATAAAACAATTACACAAGTCTGACAGGATTAGGCCCAAGGAAGCCAATAATGAATAGAATAGAATAGAATTCAGAATAGAATAGAATAGAATAGGATAGGATAGGATAGGATAAGATAGAATAGAATAGAATAGAATTAAGAATAGAATAGGATAGGATAGGATAGGATAGGATAGGATAGAATAGAATAGAATAGAATAGAATAGAATAGAATAGAATAGAATAGAATAGAACAGAATAGAATTCAGAATAGAATAGGATAGGATAGGATAGGATAAGATAGGATAGGATAGGATAGGATAGAATAGAATAGAATAGAATAGAATAGAATAGAATAGAATAGAATAGAATAGAATTCAGAATAGAATAGGATAGGATAGGATAAGATAGAATAGAATAGAATAGAATAGAATAGAATAGAATAGAATAGAATAGAATAGAATAGAATAGAATAGAATAGAATTCAGAATAGAATAGGATAGGATAGGATAAGATAGGATAGGATAGGATAGGATAGAATAGAATAGAATAGAATAGAATAGAATAGAATAGAATAGAATAGAATAGAATTCAGAATAGAATAGGATAGGATAAGATAGGATAGAATAGAATAGAATAGAATAGAATTCAGAATAGGATAGGATAGGATAGGATAGGATAGAATAGAATAGAATAGAATAGAATAGAATTCAGGATAGGATAGGATAGGATAAGATAGGATAGGATAGGATAGGATAGGATAGGATAGAATAGAATAGAATAGAATAGAATAGAATAGAATAGAATAGAATAGAATAGAATTCAGAATAGAATAGGATAGGATAGGATAAGATAGGATAGAATAGAATAGAATAGAATAGAATAGAATAGAACAGAATAGAACAGAATAGAATTCAGAATAGAATAGGATAGGATAGGATAAGATAGGATAGGATAGGATAGGATAGGATAGGATAGAATAGAATAGAATAGAATAGAATAGAATAGAATAGAATAGAATTCAGAATAGAATAGGATAGGATAAGATAGGATAGAATAGAATAGAATAGAATAGAATAGAATAGAATAGAATTCAGAATAGGATAGGATAGGATAGGATAGGATAGGATAGGATAGGATAGGATAGAATAGAATAGAATAGAATAGAATAGAATTCAGGATAGGATAGGATAGGATAAGATAGAATAGAATAAAATAGAATTCAGAATAGAATAGAATTCAGAATAGAATAGGATAGGGTAGGGTAGGGTAGGGTAGGATAGGATAGAATAGAATAGAATTCAGAATAGGATAGGATAGGATAAGATAGGATAGAATAGAATAGAATTCAGAATAGGATAGGATAGGATAAGATAGAATAGAATAGAATAGAATAGAATAGAATAGAATAGAATAGAATAGGATAGGATAGGATAGGATAGGGTAGGGTAGGGTAGGATAGGATAGGATAGGATAGAATAGAATTCAGAATAGGATAGGATAGGATAAGATAGAATAGGATAGAATAGAATTCAGAATAGGATAGGATAGGATAAGATAGAAAAGAATAGAATTCAGAATAGGATAGGATAGGATAGAATAGAATAGACTAGAATAGAACAGAAGGTGGAAGGGACCTTGGAGGTCTTCTAGTCCAGCCACCTGCTCAAGTAGGAGAACCTATACCAATTCAGATAAGTGACTCTCTCTAACCCCCCTCTCCTTTAACCTCAAACTAACCGCTATTGACCTCACCCCATTCCTGACAGGTCTGTAAGGGGCGTGCATAAACGCATCATCGTGCCTCCCGTCCCTGTCCTATTGTCCCCATTGATTTCCTGTATTCTTTCTCATGTTTATACTTAGACCTATTATCTTGTAGGCAATTGATAAACCGAATCAATAAAATAAATGATCCCAGATACTGTAAACATCATCAATAGATGCCAGTTGAAACCAGGGTTGCCACTTGTGCTGAAGTGGGGCGGGGGGATTCTGGGGCTGGCAGCCCAACCCTGGTGTCTGAGGGGGGTGGGGGAAGAAGACCGGTTTGCAGAAACGCAGGGGGACCAAGTTCACCTGACGTCCACCAGGGTGGAGGTGGTTCCCATGGGACTGGTCAGCGAGATGGCCAGATCTCCCCTCCGGCTGTAAGTGAGCCACAACTGGACCTGGACGTGCTCCAGGGAACGGATGCCTCGGCTTCTCCTCTGAAGGCAGGGGGAGGACGAGACGTTCTGCGAGACGGACAGCCGCGAACCGATGGCCCTGTCGGAAGGTGGAAACAAAGAGAACGGACGTTCAACTCGGGAGGGCCTCAATACAAAGCTCGTCCTCGGCTTACCGACCACAACTGAGG